GTACGTTCGTTCAAAGCTGATTCTTTCGAGAGAGCCAATTTAAGTGAAGTTTGTATCGTAACATCCGCTTTTGAGGCATCTTCTTCAAATATAATCTATCCATAATTTTTTCTTCATTGATGCCGATGACAAAAGTATCACGCATAACTATTTGCAATTCGGATCCGAAACCACATTTGAGGCAATATTTATCACCCTGGCTTCCCACTCCGCGACACTTTCGTTTTAAACTCGTCGGGCTGAATAGAATTTCATACGTTGTGCAAAAAACGATTTCACTGGCGAGAAATGATTCTCAAGCAAAATTAACAAATCATCGTGGTTTTTAGAATTTGGTAAATCGGGAACACATAAGTTTCTCAGTAAAACATAACACTGTTCTGATAAAGAATTCAGAAGTATAGCCTTTTTTGTCCTTCATCGTTCACTTTATTTGCAATAAAAAATTGACTCAATCTTTCACTAAATACTGTGAAGTCTGAATTGTTAGGATCAAAAGAGTTTATTGTTCTTAATAAACCAGAACCTGATGCCATTTTACACTGACTTCGACACTTTCACTAGATTTTGCGCGGATTGCGAAATGTCCTCGTCGCCAATTGTTATGTTATCGTGCAAATAAAAATGATATTTTCTATATGGTATCTACCACTTTATTGTATCTCCAACAACGGTAAGTACTCGACTGCAGAGCAAGTCTACATGAAAAACATTCGTGTACAAAAAGATCTTTATATACAGGACTGGAAACTAACAACTATGTTTTATTATTAATATATGACAATTTGTTTTCTCATTTCCGTCTATATTTGAGTCCCCAGGCAAAACCAAATACAATGTCATTCATTTCAGACAGGTGTTCCATTTTATTTGATTCTCATAGTTATGTAGTCTGTTTCAGTACTATATTTATTGTTAACAATTCTATTCAAATCAAGAAACATTTTATTCTGAGATTTTCACAAAATAGTTTTACAAAAACGCAACACGTGTTTCGTTATGCCATAGCCATCTCTGATTGTATTGCAATGAGTTAGCGTTGCATACCTGTTAAAATTATGTCTCCTACTCTAGATGAAAAGTTATTGACATTTTTCGCTGGGCACTGTATTCCTGAATTTTATTAGTTCGAACTTCCATTGTCTAATATGATTCTAATTTGATTTGAAATTTCTGAAAGATTGAATAAAATTAAAATGAATAGCTAAAAATATCAACTATAATGAATAATTGAATATATAGTAATTACAAAAGATACGGAGGGAGTTTTAATGAGAAGGAGACGCAATGGGTTTTTCAGTACTGATTTTATTTTAGCGAATATTATCATTATTATTATTATTGTTATCATCATTATTATCTTTTATTATACGTATGCTTGTCAATCGATCAAAATGCGTACTTTTCACGATTTTAAACATTTTTCTGTCCTGTATAATAATATTACTCCAATACTTTAGTTATTTGCTGATCATAATTTCAAAAATGGTGGATTTGCATACACTTTAACTGATTGAATGGTTATCAATAATGAAAGGATAAAATACATACGTTCCATACCAAAAACAATATTTCAAAATTCATTCATTCAAAACCCTTATCAAAATCGCAAATGAAAGTGAGTATGAAAGGTATCCACTGAAATGCAGGTATCTACTATTTTCATGAAGTCTTGTCTAGACTGATAATAGAAGTAGGTTCAGTAATATGGACACCTGAAAACAAACTACACCAAACCTGTATTTTATTTCCTTAATTTTTATTACAGCTTGGCAAATGTAGATGTGCATCTGAGATGTGATAGAGATAGTAACTCTCCATTAGTAACTTTCATCAAGAAGTTCAATCGGGAGAATAATTTAGGCTTAAATAAATACGGCACGTATTAACAACTAGACAAATATACCAATAGGGAACGGGAACCCCAATTATTTCCTTTTGTGCAGGTGAACCCCAATTCTTTCTTTTGTGCAGGTGAAAATAATATGTAAAATTGACAAATCAGCATCATCCATCATAATTTTAAATTTTTGATATATTATTTCATTTTATTCAGAGTTGAAAATTTATTTTTCTCGCCATTTTCTATTTTTTTAACTCTGATTTTGATTTTTCGCTTGCAAAAGTCTCAAAACGTTTTTCACAATTTTTCCGCTTTGTCCACTAAGAACCTTATTGTCAGTGTACAGTTCAAAGGCATTTTCAGAGACAACAAATAACTTCCAGTACACCTCACAGAATAATTTCTCCACTTAGTGTACTACCACGAAGTTCACTATACGAGTTCCTCGATGTTAATGAGCTCTCGCCCCATTACGCCGGCTGATCTACTGCGCATCCAATATTGTAAGGCAATATTTACAGTTTTGTGGTTCAATGAGGTTCGAATATTTTCCTTCTGATAACACCGCACTGTGTCATGTGTTGTCGGTTGCCAATTTTGTCAGTTGTCATTAGTTGAGCATA